ATAACTTAACTACCCGAGTCTTATGGTCATAAGCGTGACTACTGATCATATATCAGACTCCAAGATTCCTTTTTTTAAAGAATTGAAGACAGAGTACAGTACACAAACTAATAAGAGTACAGAATAACAGTTTGACAACTACAATGATACGTATTTTATTTTTAAAGGTACCCATCTACTATACCTATCTAAGAATCTCTGATTCAAATGGTCTGAGATTTTAAAGAGTCGAGATTTATGCAAACTGACTAATTTACAAATCTGTATATTTGTGACTGTCTTCTTATTTCTTGATATTACATTTAAGACTAAGTGCCTAAGTCTTAAATGGCCACCGCCGACGAGAGCTCTCTCAAGAAGCGAACAATAGATATAGATCCCATGTCAATAAAAGATATACACATATTTAAAAGTTGATTGCTGGCTGTTCACACTACTAACGAGAACTCTCTCTCTCTCGACTAGTTTTTCGCAGCGACAAGAGCTCTCAATGTTAAAACTCGCTCAGCGATGCTCGCTTGGCGTTTAGAACTTATGACGAGAGACCTACCAACGGTAATTTTATTCTACAGCGTGGATCTAAGTGCACTTGCGTTAAAACTATAGGAACTACACACTCGCTTCTCGTTGGTCGCCAACTCTTAGCTAGATTAATAATGTCCTCCAGACCGAATTTCGGCCACGGCGGCATACCTCAACGGAGGCTAGCCATCGGCGCAGTACAGGATTATAGTGCCCAAATGTATGCGGGCGAGCACAGGTGTCTATATTCCTGCACTCTCATAACCCGATGGGACGGTAAACCGACACAACCGGAGAGAGATCAGGCGCAGGACCAACGGCTTTACGTGCTCTCCGAGGCACGGGGGTGAGACACCGCCAACTTCCTAACTCCGGGCAGCTACTGAGAATGTCTTGACAGAAAAACTCAATAATTAATTCTTTGGCCCGACCCGGGATTCGAACCCAGGCCCTCATGATCAGCAGTCGCACTACTACAACCACTAAACCAACGAGGCAGTCATGTCCATAACAGTAGGATACTCACAGCTTATTTCAATGACAATCTCTAGGTATAAGTATTCTTATTATCGAGTTTTAAGAAAATTATATTGAAATTTGATAAAGAGTCTAGGTTAAGATGTAAGTCCTAGTCAATATGTACGGAATATTTGATTTCATCGTCTCATTTAACTTTTAAATTAAATACTTATTCGAAAGATTTTAACCTCTAGACCAATGAGGCAGTCCTTAGTATCTTATCTAGATTATAGCTATATTTACTAGCGATACTGCTTATCATGTGGTTCACGCGACGGGCAAAATTAGTTTTGTTCTTTCAGTCTAATAATTATCAGTAGCTAATCTCATGTACCTAATCTCTCTCCGATCATGTCGGATTACCATTACATCGGACTATGGAGACTATTTGTGCTTGCACACACATTTGTTAGTGCACAATCCAGTCCTGCGCAGATTTCTGTTCTCAAGTTCATTTTGGAGAACGTTCTTTTAATTAACCAAATAAATATAACATAACATTTTTGTATAATGTTAATATAGTCGTATTTAAGAATGATTATACAAGTATAATGGATTTTATTTTACACCTTGGCCAAAAATAACGTTCGTTATTATCATTATCCTCATAATTTCAGCCTATAAAACTCTATTTCGGAATATAGGCCTCCAGATATATTTCCTCACACAATAATTTGCCATAGTTGTCACACTTAGCAGGCAAACATGCAAATTATTAGGAAGACACTAATGTCCATCTCCTGGTTTGTTAATAAAGATAATGTTGACAACATGGCAATACCAAAAACCGTCTTAACCCCTTTGTTCTTGACAATCCATGCATCCAAATCAAGCGGTTTGTTTCATAACATAAACATAACATAAACACTCACGCCTGTCACCCAGAGTGGTAGGCAGAGACTACAGACTTCCATTTAGCACGATCCTGACATACCTTTCTCGCCTCTTCCACATCCATATACCTACGCATACATGCTCGTCGGTTAAGGGTACTCTTAATTTGGCCCATTTTTAGTATATCGCCAATTTGGTCGACAAACTTCCGCCTAGGACGTCCCTTTCCGACTCTTCCATTCACTTCTGCAACATATATTTGCTTTGTCAGTCTTTCCGCATTCATTCTTTTTACATGACCAAACCACCGAAGCATTCCTTTCTTAATCCTGGTCACCGCATCATCTTGCAAACCACACTCTTCTTTTATCACACAGTTTCTCACCCTGTCACTCAGATTCAGCCCTAACATACCCCTTAGCGACCGCATTTCTACTGCATTTATTCTACTCTCGTGCTTCTTCTGCCACACCCAACTTTCACTACCATACGTTAAAGTAGGGACTAATACAGCACTGTGAATTGCCATACGTGCCTTTTTTGACACATTCTGACTTTTGCGGTTTGTTTCATCTTACGTAATACGTACAGTGAGTATTGAAATATTTTGTAGACGTCTGTTTTTCCGTCTAATTACGATCTGGGTGTCTTCAACGCAATAATGGATAGGCTTTTGTTACGCTAAGACAATGCGATTAATTATCTACAATCAAAGACTTCTAGTAAACATAGAAGTCTTAAATTATAGTATGTAAAAAATATCTTTAGACTTTGACGTCATTTTAACATTATTTGTTAGCTGAAAAGTGTTGAAAGGGTATTTCGACTAGGGTACTTCGGTATTTCGGGTATTGACTCCACGTGACTTAATGTCACACAATATAATTACATGAGTTTGAAATATGTGCTTGTTTGTATTCAAAGGACATGCGTTCGCCTTAACAATAATTAAATTTCATTGTGTTCGAGCAAACTCAGTTCCTTTCTATATTATAATTTGACCAAGGAAAAAACGTTATTCGTCATCAACATATGCCGAAAGTCAAAAAAAAGAATGATACTAAGAGGATACATTAAACATATTTACCTTCTTTTTGCTGTAGAAAGGGTTTGCCCTGGGCAAGCGGATAGACTTGCAATAAACAACCCCAATCATCTATTTATCTATTTTAATTTTCTACCGACTTCAAAAAGGACCCGGTACTCAATTCGATTGTATGTTTTTTTTTTTCGTTTTTTTTTATGTGTGTTACCTCAGAACTTTTTTCTGGGTGAACCGATTTCGATGATTCTTTTTTTATTTGAAAGCTGGTACTTCTCGTGTGGTCCCATATAAATTTGATTCAAGTTTGACCAGCAGTTTTTCAGTTATCCTTAATAATGCATATATAATTGACTTCGATTGCATTGACGGTATTCTCATCTGCCGATTTTTTTTTTCTGGGTGAACCGATTTCGATGATTCTTTTTTTCTTCGATGATTCTCGTGTGGTCCCGTATAAATTTGATCCAAGTTTTACCAGTACTTTTTGAGTTATCCTTAATAACGCATATATAATTGACTTCGATTGCATTGACGATGTTCTCATCTGCCGATTTTTTTATTTTATACTTATATTTATTACTTGTCGAACGGTAAACGGAAAAACGGTAAAGGGTGGTTGAGAAGAGCATCGTATTTCGATTCATAGTATTTCGAGGTGGTCCCATTTTTATAATTTGGTGATGTCCGAATTAAGATCTTCGGCGAAATAAAACGGAACTATAACACTCGAAAGGGTACACACTAAAAAGCTAAAAACAAAATTATTTCTATGATACAACTTTTGATCTGACAATGAAGTTATTAGGCACCGGAACTCCGGAATAAAACATAGCACCCTAGCCATTGATAATGATTGATGATTTTAACGGTATATCTTTCATTCTAATTGCGCTACTTGAGGTGTACGAGTATTATGCGTGGTCTTCATTGTCGGAAGACAGATTTCGTAACCTCGTCATTTCTTTCAACGATTTGTCGTCGTGTGGTTTATTTAATAATTTGTTGGCGTCCAAATCTGATAAAGCTATGCCTTCCAAACTTTTAACACGACTTAGTGCCACATATATTTGCCCTTTTGCGAAGTTTTTCTTTCCAAGGTCAATCACAGCTCTTTCGAGGGTCGTACCCTGTAGTTTGTGAACTGTAACTGCCCAGCTTAATATTAGAGGCAGCATACGGCGCTCCACATCTCCGTAACCCCTTACTGCCTGAAATGTAGTACTTGATGGAGGTATGGGTACGCAACCATTACTATCTTTTAGCCTGCGACCGATAGTTTCGTCATCAAATTTAACGTACACGGCTTCTGGTAGCTCTCCATCCTCCAGTTGATCTCTCCTCAAGGCCGGCCATTTGATTTTTTTTATTATAACCATAGCTCCATTTACTAGCCCTTCAGAGACGGAGATATTGCGTCTCAACATCACTCGAGATTCGACGCTAATTCTTATCGATGGCAGAAGACCACCACAGTTATTGACGTCTTTGGGAATCACGTTCTCTGGTGGTTTTCTACCATATGTCGCTACTTCACGCGACTCATCCACTGCGTTGATTAAATAAGTTCGGTGCAGCTTTGCATTTTCCTTGGTTATTTTGTCGTTGTAATCGTCGACTTGCCTGACCGTGGGAAAGATACGAACGGCGACTCCATCCGCAAATTCACCATTTATAGGCACGTGGCGCCGCTCGCATAGTAATTCCAGCTGAGCCGTCGTCAGTTCACCTACCCGTAAGCTGTTCAATAAATCGATGAATTCGCTATCATTGCGCTGTCGCATGTTTATGGTCAGTTCACAAAAAGAAAACTGATGCCACAAATTGACCTCCACCGAAAACCACGATGGCTGCACAAAACACCAATTCCCTTTCACCGGAGGAAGCTGAAATATGTCACCAAATACTAAAATGTTGACTCCACCGAATAACTTCTCGTTGTTTTTGTATTCTTGGAGTCTTAGGTGAATTATTCTTAAGTTCTCATAGGAGACCATAGAAATTTGGTCTATGACTAGCCAATTTATATAGCGCCATTTACGCCTTTCAGACTCGAGTCTTTGACCTGTAATTTTTTTGTATGTCATAGAATTTTTTTTTCAATCGGAAGCAAGAAAATACTATGTAGCGTTTTGCCAAAAATTTGACGAGCGGCAACCCCGGTTAGCGACCCAACTTCCACAAATTTAGGCTTCAGCAGTATATCTACTGTTGGTGCGTAACAACGCTTAATGTGCTCCACGATTAATTTCAGCAGAAATGATTTACCACTGCTTGCACCGCCCGTGATAAAAAGTAACAGCTGGCTTTCTTGTCCATGCAAATCGTTTTCGATTTCCGTTGAAACTTTCTGAAATAATTCCTTCTGTTGGATATTTAATCCTCGAATGCTTCCTAGGAACAATTCATCTGATATGACGGCTCGTTCGTCCATGTCTTCACAAAAGTTATCATCGTCATGTAAAATTTTTTCACCAACACATAACATGGAAGCATTGCCTATATCGGTTTCACGCGCAGCATTAAGCGCGGTAGCTTGCGCAACAGCTTGTTGAATAATTAATTCGGCATGACCAATTTGTTCTGAACTGATGTCACCCTGCAACGGGCGAAGTTCCCCTTTTCGTCTTATAAAACAGTCTTCAGCGGTTTCATTTTCGAAAAGTAATTCGCCTTCATTACGAAATGGTATATGGCATACTAATAAACTGTAATAATATGCTTCTTTGTCGCTATTAATTGTATAATAGCGGGTACGTAACACTGCCGGTCTATTTCTTACACGCAATCTCGTATTGTCCTGCAATCTGATATACCTCTCTGGCGTAATATCTTCGTCTCTCAGTTCCGCATCCCCATTGTCCTCTGACCATGTCGTGTTAGAGACGGTTTCAAAACGGACGGCAAATTCCGCAAGGCTTAAATTCTCCAGCTCGTTTGGGCGTAATACATAACGATCAAAAATATTATTGTAAATACTGGTTTCATCACTATCAAATCTCAGGAGTCTGTAACGTTCCTCCGGCCTGCATCTATTCACAAAAACAGTCTTTCGCGACGACATTTTCAATGGCAAATGGCATAATCTGTAAGCGCATTCGGGCGCACTCACCAAGCGTTTATTTAAAATAGTCATTGATATTGAAAACAATTGTTTCCAAACATCACCACCTTGTCTCTTAGCATTCGAAATAGCTTCTCGAATTACATCACCTGTGTCATGTGGTTCGCATTTACTGGCATATTTTGCGACGTAGTAGGCCACAGCGGTGACATTACCACACGGTTGCACGTCAATATTTCCCTTCCATAGATTTAAAAGAACTGCATTGTAATTGTTTACCATGGCTTCATTTGAGGTTCGTTTCAATATACAAAATCGTCCATTGTTAGCAAGTGCTTCATCTGGTCCAAGACAAACGGTGTTAACACTTGCTGGCTTTGGAAAATCAAATCGACAACCATCAGTTTGGCGATTTTTTTGCATGTCGCAGTGTGTTTATGAATCTGTAAATCCTCAACTAATTTGCGCAACACAAGGTCATTAGGAGTTAATGAACATGAAACCACCCTTTCAATTACAGCAACTCCTTCTGGAGTGGTGAAATTCGGAACATTACTACACCAGACTAACATATGCAGATGTGGGCTACCGCGGTTTTGAAACTCCACTCGGTACCAAAAATCTTCAATAAGACCACCCAAGCAATCTTTATTTCTCTTTAAGAATCGCATGAGAGCGTTAACACGTACTGTGAACTGTCGTGCTAACACTACCGGATGTTTTTGCACTAGGTTCAAGCGCTCCGGGAATGACAGGCGATCGACGTCATCGATATCACGTCCATCAGCGATAAGCAAGGCTTTTATCATGTCTGGCCAATTTAAATCATTGCAGGAAAATGTTAAAAACCATGTGGGAGGCCCTAAAGTTCTAACCATGGCAATCAATTCAGAGCAACATTTCTGCCAATATGATGCCGATCCTCGAATATTTCTCATAGTGAGATGCATATTATCTACAAGTCCCTGTGGTGTTTGCTCTCCATGACCTTGTCGCATCCTACATGACACAGATACGCTTGATTTTGCACGAAAATATTCAACAATGGATAGAGCATAAAATAAATAATCATTTCTGTTGAACCTCTTGTCAATACTCATTACCCGGTTTTGAAAGTAATCAAGGGGGGTACACGCATTTTCTCTTTCCTCGCCAAAGCCATTCCTGCCATTTGGAAAAAAGAAAATACCAACATAATTCCTCCATACGGCGTTCACGTTCCAAATTCAAGGGAGGTGCAGTTTTCCTTGTGATTGCGGCCAATCTCATTGTATCATCGGTTGAAGAGCTATTCATATTAACAACATTTTCTAAATTAGGTACGTTATCGTCTATATTTTGGAGCATACCTGTTGATTCGATATAAATAGTGCTTAAGGAGTTATGAACTGGTAATGGCAACTGAAAATGGGTTGATTTTACCGGAACTGTTTTTTGGATAGACTGAATGACTTGTGTTGTTGTTTGGAGGGTATTACTTGTTTGTATTATTGGTTGGAGGGAATAGTTTGGTGTAAATGTTGGACTCTCTAACCTTGACGAATGTTCCAATATTGGCGTAATCGTTTGTATTTGGGAGTCTCGAGCTGTTTGTATTATCGGTTGGAGGGAATCGTTTGGTGTAAATGTTGGACTCTCTAACCTTGACGATTGTTCCAATATTGGCGTAATTGTTTGTGTTTGGGAGTCTCGAGCTATAACTAATGATGTTAACGAGAATACATTAAGATTATCTCGAAAGTTTCCTTCTGGCACTTTTTTTGGCGACACAAATAAATTGCGACGTAAAATAGCATGCAAATCATCCAGTTCACTAAATCGCATGCAACAAGCGGTACCATTTATGGGAGCGGAGGCCCCCTTGGGACCCCTTACATGGGAATCAAACAAAAAGTAAGTTTGATTGTCACCTAAAGTTCTGCAATGCACTGCTATCGATATGGCGTTTGCTGTAAGTATCCCATTGGAGTGTTCTCTGAAAAAACTTAATAATGCATTTTTTAAATTAGGAAATCCATCGGAAGTATTATCATTGTCTATGTGGCCATTATGATTGGTTTCCTCAAGTACTGTGATCACTAAATTTTGTCTATTATATATAAGTCTTGGACTAAGATCTGAAACAGCAAGGTACTCAGGATTTACTTCGCCGGGCGCAGGATTATCTCTAGCAGCGATGCAGTCATTATAGTATTTATCGCCAATAATTACAATGTAATCAATATCACTTTTGGCCCACTTGTTTGGATCTAATACACTAAATGCTGCACAAGCAACAGCCGCTATCCCAGTACATTGCTTACCCCGAGATAAATTAAATCGTAAATCACCTTGATTAAATGATCCGCGTAATATTGCCTTGTTGTCATTTAAAGTGATATAATGTTGTGATAAAGTTTCAGAAGCAACGCCATCCTGTTCAGGAATAGAATTTTCAGCTATTTGTAATATATGAGGAATATTTAAAGTAGTTTCAAAATGTACCTGAACATCGCTGTAAAGATGGTTATTGGAAATTAACCAAGTTAATGCTCGATTCAGTCTTTGCATATCCACGACGAATTCTTTAGAACATGAAAGGTTCTCGAGACTTTCCACTACCAAAACTAAACCAGCTTGATTTGGTGTCAGTGGTAACTGTTCAGCAATTTCCACAACATCCTTTGTAAATAGAATGACCTGCCCTTTACACCAATTTTGACTGAACCGGTTATTAAGTTTTACAATCTTTAAAAATGGTACGATGCGGCTTAAAAATCGTTCTTCAACGCTCGTCAAATTGACTAATTCAGGCGGTACTTCTGCGGGCATCATTTTATTCCAATATGCAGTTGTTGGAATTTTTCTTTTCCTAATATTATTGCTACATCGAGAGCACGTAGTTATTGTACCTAAAGCAACCAGTTCTTCAGGTAATAGTATACTATACATATTTGCTCGTAAATTGGAACGCTGTTGAGGATAAAGGCTTCTTTTACAAACGGCGCATGGTACATCAGCAAAAATATTAATAGCCGCTTCAAAAGATTGTTCATTTGTGATGTCCCTACAAGCTTGATTAGCTTGTTGCATTCTACTAAGTCGATCTGAACGAGTTTCAGGTGTTTCGTTTGATAAGCGATCGCGAATCAATCCGAGTCGGTGGGCACGTTGCTCTTCCGTCTCATTCGATAGACGATCGTGGATCACACCGAGGCGGTGAGCACGTTGCTCTTCTGTCTCGTTCGATAGACGATCGTGGATGACGCCGAGGCGGTGGGCACGTTTCGCTTCCGTCTCTTTTGATAGACGATCGTGGATCAATCCGAGGCGGTGAGCACGTTGCTCTTCCGTCTCGTTCGACAGACGATCGTGGATCACACCGAGGCGGTGAGCACGTTGCTCTTCCGTCTCGTTCGATAGACGATCGTGGATCACACCGAGGCGGTGAGCACGTTGCTCTTCCGTCTCGTTCGATAGACGATCGTGGATCATGCCAAGGCGGTGGGCACGTTGCTCTTGCGTCTCATTCAATAGACGATTGTGGATCACGCCGAGGCGGTGGGCACGTTGATCTTCCATCTCATTCGATAGGCGATCGTGGATCAGGCCGAGACGGAGAGTACGTTTTTCGATATTTTCCCTGTACAAAACTTTTTTCATGTAAGCCCGCATTATTGAAAGCCTATTTTTGCGCTCTTCACAAGTCTCTTTTGAAATGTCAATTGAGGTAGATTTCCTCTTTTGAGATAGACGTTTCTTCCTTTCTTCGTTTGTCTCATTTAAACGGTGCTGTCTCATATGAGCAGCGCGTTTGCTAAGTCTACCCATTTTCAAACAAATAAAATCAGTTATCGAACTTCAGAATCACTAAAAATAGAAAAATAAACAAAAATTTTAACAAAATAGAATACCGACTTCAAAACAAAATATTTTAAAACAATAAATGCACTAAAAATTTTAAAAATAATTGCGTATTCTTGTATCTACAACTTACAATCAACTTATTTTTTTCTACTCAATGTACGATCTATGCGTTTACCACGCAAGAAGGTAGGTACCGACTTAAACTTCACATCTAACTCAACACATATCTATGATTCACAAACAATTATCAAAATATTTTTTAGAGTTCAACTAAGCAAAAATTTTCAAATATATGTGTAGACTGCTTAAAAGACAATCAAATTATTAGGATAATATAATCTACAATTATTGTCATTTTTGGAGTCGGTGTCAGCCAAGGTATATTTCTAACTACTTAAACGTGAGATGTCTTACTATAATCATAACATAGATAACAATTGGCATACACAATTTACACACATAGACGCAGCACTCGGCGCGGGTTTATCGACGCGGGCGCGGGGAAGGAGGGTGGGAAGGCTACAGAAGTGAGCGAGCCAAACGCGTACGCCGGCCATTCGCCAGTCAAGAAAAAGAACATATACGAGTTACTTGATTATAAACCGATAACGATTCTTTTTCATTCTACACCGTCTTTCTTACTGTAATTCCTTATGTTTATTATTAAAGCTACATTTTCGTATAAAGGTTGCTAGATATTGTCACAGCATATTGTCGTATTAATATTCGTCTATAAGTAGGTTTAATTAAGTATTGTTATTTTGTTGCATTAATGTTGTTAGAAAGGTATTGTCACAGCATATTGTCGTATTGAAGTTAATTTGGAAATAGGTTAATTATATATTGGTATTTTATTGTATTAAGGTTAACAGATAAGTATTGTCACAGCATTTTGTCATATTAATGTTCATTTATAAATAGGTTTAATTAGGTATTGGTATTTTGTTTTTTGTAATAAGGTTATTAGGTACTATCACAGCATATTGTCGTATTAATGTTCATTTATGAATAGGTTTAATTAGGTATTGGTGTTTTGTTGCATTAAGGTTGTTAGATAGGTAATGTCATTGATACCTATTTTGTTATATTAGGGTTGTTAGATAGGTATTGTCACAGAATATTATTGTATTAAAATTAATTTGGAAATAGGTTAATTATTTTTGGTATTTCGTTGTATTAAGGTTGTTACTTAGGTATTGTCACATCACATTGTATTTAAGTTAATTTGTAAATAGGATTAATTAGGTTATTGGTATTTTGTTTATTGTATTAATGTTGTTACATAGGTATTGTCACACCATATTTTCGTATTAAAGCGTATTTCCAGGAATTCTCGTATTATTATTGCTAGGTACATTGTCGTATTTCCTTGGCTGACACCGACTCCAAAAATGACAATAATTGTAGATTATATTATCCTAATAATTTGATTGTCTTTTAAGCAGTCTACACATATATTTGAAAACTTTTGCTTAGTTGAACTCTAAAAAATATTTTGATAATTGTTTGTGAATCATAGATATGTGTTGAGTTAGATGTGAAGTTTAAGTCGGTACCTACCTTCTTGCGTGGTAAACGCATAGATCGTACATTGAGTAGAAAAAAATAAGTTGATTGTAAGTTGTAGATACAAGAATACGCAATTATTTTTAAAATTTTTAGTGCATTTATTGTTTTAAAATATTTTGTTTTGAAGTCGGTATTCTATTTTGTTAAAATTTTTGTTTATTCCTTCATTTTCAGTAATTCTATATTTTAGCTGGTAGATTGTAGTTAAACTTAATTTTATATGGATTAGCATTAAAATAACTTAAATTTAAAATTTAAAACACCCCCGAAAACTGTGAGTTCATCCGTTTAAGAACTATGATGCCACAGACAGGCACGTATACACAGATACAAACTTAAAACACCCCGCTGTTATCTTCGAGGCTTTATAAGGTTAGCATTACGCTACGCTTAAAACTAAACATAAGAATAGTTGGCAAATATTAATTTTATTATTTATATTAACACCCTTAGGTTGCGACAAATAACATTAAACTACACGTTCACTGACTTCCCGCAGGAGACTTGAGGTTAATTTGAAATATAAGAGATGCAAAGACCTTTATATACACTCACCGGCACGGAAACTTGGCCAAGCGGTTATCTCGCGATAGCTAAAGCTTTAAGTGTGTCTGATGAATGTTTGTTATGCAAGTATGTCAAAAAATGTTTACCCTCAAGTTCAAGTGGGTAATTCATTATGTTTAAGTGCACCATGACGAATTCTTTAATTTTTAGTTGAATCGGGTCATTTGAGCGACTAAGTTCACATTTTAAATTTGTGTGTTGTGAAAAGTTTACTGTAAGGTTATTCAATTATTGTGATCTTGTGTCTTAATTAAATAACTAAAGGTGCTTTAAAGCCAATAAAAATGCCATTAACACCAGCACAAGTTGCACAAGCAGTAGCATTAATTGACCAAGGGCTGACACAGCGTGAAGTTGCTATTGTGCTTAACGTACCACGGTCCTCAATGCAGTATTCACTGAAACGATACCAGGAGACAGGCCGCTACACCCGCAGGCCAGGCAGTGGGGGCGTAAGGTGCACATCGGCCCGGGACGATCGTTTTATTGTTATGGAGATTTTGAGAAACCGCTACCTGACCGCTGTTGAGATACGCCAGCGGCTCCAAATCGCAAGAGGCGTTAATGTTAGTGAGCGTACGGTGAGAAGACGAATGGAGGAAGTGAATTTAAAAGCTCGTAGACCAGCACGAGGTCCAGAACTTCTCAGACAGCACCGAGTAGCCCGACTTTAGTTCGCAAGAGAACATGTCAATTGGACCCACGAGCAATGGGCTAGAGTGTTGTTCACAGATGAGTGTCGAATAGCTTTACGTGCTCCAGACGGTCGAGAACGAGTGTGGAGAAAAAGAGGAGAGAGGTTTCTACCCATTACCACCACCCAAACTGTGAGTTTCCATGGAGGCTCAATAATGGTATGGGGAGGTGTAAGTTCCGACGCACGTACAGAGTTGGTCATCGTCGATAATCGGCTTACAGCTACTCGATACATCGAGGAAGTTCTTCAGGAGCACGTAATGCCTTATTCGGGATTCATTGGACACGACCAATTCCTCCTCATGCACGATAATGCACGCCCGCCCGTCGCACATTGTGTAGAGGAATATCTGGAAGAGGTTGGAATACAAAAATTACAGTGGCCAGCTCGTAGCCCGGACTTAAATCCAATTGAGCATGTATGGGGTATGCTCAAAAGAAAGATAAAGTCCAGCTCCAAACCGCCACAAACTCTAAATGAGCTCCGAAATGCAGCACTGGCCGCTTGGGACAGCATACCGCAAGTTGATGTCAGAAACATCATTCAAAGCATGCCAGATCGAATGCAAGCGGTTATCAGGGCTAGAGGAGGAAATACCCGATATTAAAACTGATAGACAATAAAGAAACAGACTTAATTTTTAACTTTGTAGTGTTTTTAAAGTGACAATGGAAAGATGTTAATTTTAGTGAAAACATGTTATCTTGAAAAGAAAAATTTCGGTGAAGTAAACATTAAATTTCTATGTTCTAAAACCATTAGAGACACTTATTGAATGCATCTACCCTTAATTTACTGTTAAAAGAACGTTTCAGTGCAAATAATCAGCAAATTCACGAGTGGCCAAGTTTCCGTGCCGGTGAGTGTAGTTAAAGATACTGATCTTTGTTATTCTTTGTATACGTTCTTTGTACATTGACCTCATTAGAGTTCACGAAGTAGATTGTTTGCGCACATCTCACATTTAACTCTTGCCCAAGTTTCCAGGCTATATTATGGTAAGTTAAGGATTTTGCTGTTTGTTAAATAAGAACAATAAATAAAAAAATTTTACAATTATTATAAAAAAAAACCATAATGTTTTTAGATATGAAACATCAGGAACTATCCTTATTAAAAAAAAATAATTGAAAAAATAATAATGTTACAGTCTATATACGTCCCACTGATACAAAAACTATATTTATTTCTCAAGTATGCTGGTTTCCTCACGATGTTATAGTAGAACTCAAATTTAATTAACAATTTCATTGGTGGTAACGGAGATACTACCGGGTTGCTCGAGTACTGTGAAGCGAAGGCCGATGTCTTTAAAAACTGTTTGCTAAACATAGTTCTGTAATATCAATATAAGGTGTCTTGCTTGCTCTAAAACTCTAAATGTTAAATTACACTTTGTTACTATATATATATTATGTATTATTTTACATTGAGGTAAATTTTTTTCTTATTTGTTTATAACCCTTGTGGTGAAAAGCCTTAGATGGTAAATTGCACTTGTGACGGCCCAATATTATTATTAATAATTAAATTCAATATAAAGGGGCATCAAAAATAATCTTAATATATATATATATATATATATATATATATATACATATATATATATACATACATATATATATATATATATATATATATATATATATATATATATATATATATATATATATGGTGGCATGTATGCTGCTTCAGCAATTGGTCCGAGGTAAACTTGGGCTCGCTAACCGATGTGTCCTAGACATATCATCTTAGTGCCGGTGGTAAGCGGGTTTGTTGTAGCAATACGGCTTTCCCGTGGACATCGCACACCCATACCGTTTGTGGGCGACGTCGTAGCGCATAGCGATGCGTCGTCTATCTTTCGGATTGGGATGATGAGTGTGTTTGGTAGCACTTTTAAGTGTAACAGGCATACTCAACTTCATGTCTTAGTGCATTAGCGCTATGATACGTGGAGTTTTGTTCACTGGCGTCTTAGTAGCGTGCTACTATGATACGTTGGTGATATTTTTTAGTTAACAACAATACAAACTTTGTTACCAAAGTCGATAGGGATCATGTGGGTGTGTTGTGAGGGGGCGCCATCCGTATGATAGTTGCATTGATGCTTACTGCTACTTGCGGTATT